GGGACCTGGTCGCCCCGCTCAGCCCCGATGATAGCGTGGCCGTCTCCGGCGTCGCTGCGCCTGGCTCTGGAGCCGGCGTCTTGTCTTCGTAATCTTCATAATCGTGGGCGTCAGGACCGATGTCTGCTTCGTCGTCGAAGCTCACTGAAAGCTTGGTGGCGGCTGCAAAGCGCGCAGCCGGGCTTGAACTCTCGTTGCGAGCCCCGCCAGACTTGGCAGGCGTAACTGGTACCGTCGGTTGTCCTTTCGCCATGTTTCTTGTCTTTTTCTTGTTCTTCTTCTCTTGGTAGCTCGTAAACTGGAAGGCCATACAAACAGCTCACAATGGTCACAATCTGTTCCCGGGTCGCGGCACCAGTTGTGGTGTTGGAATTCCCACGTGAACTCTAGCTACAAATGTAGTTAGGATGTTCCCACAACAATACGTCTACTAGGATAGTAAACGATCGTTCGGGCGGACCTGAAGACCCCAGTTCTGCCCTTGCACCGGGACAAACTGGACCTTGTAAACTACTTATATAGGTCAACCAGTAAAATAAGAACACGCTACTAGCACGAGCAAAGCTAGCAGGTATTTTGAATCCTCGTGGTCCCAACAGCGAAAGGGTACCAGGCACGGGTAAGCCTTTTACGAGATCACCGAGTGTTCAACACTCGGCTGGAAGAAATAAAAGGGAGGCAATTAAAGCACTCCCAGTCGTGCAAATAGGCAACAATAAGCCGTCACGTAAAACCTCCCGATAATAACCGGCCAATACACAAAGTCTCTTGGCCTTGCCGGATGAACCCTCGCTACAGAGCTTCGAGCTCACCGACAGGCATAACACACTCAAACAAGCTTGACCTGACGCTTACCTTGAAGCCGGACGTCGCTCTGTGTGCTTGAGTGGAAATTCTGTTCTGTATTTAAGCTTACCCTTTCGGGTCTATTCCTAATAAGAAGTCCTAATCAAGTATACAAATATCAAGTGAACAATGATCCGTTATGGATCTTCTTGCATGCCAAGCGTCGTCTGCACCATCGCATGAGCATTTTAACGGTCCGCGCCCTGTCCCAGACGGTGAAAGTGCCTTCCAAGGGTCGCGGAGTCTTCTGCGAACTCATCCCAACCGCCACTGAGGGTTCGTACCGTAGATGGTCCGCTGAATGCGAATCCGGCCAGTCCATTATTAATAATAAGGACAGCCTGGATTCAGTGACATAGGGCCGTATCCGATACTTGTTGAAAACTCGGAGGTGACGCCGTCGAGTCCCTTGCACCTTAGCGTCTCCGTACATCACCTGACCGAGGGTTCGTCGCTTGAACAACTTGGGCGGTGTCACGTCTTTGTCGACGGGTGATAATCCGCAACTACGGAGAAATCACTACACCACAGTACCATCACATTCGTGATGAGGTCAAGCGCGGTGAGGTCAAACTGGAGTACTGCGAGACCTCTGTGATGCTGGCGGACATCATGACGAAGACGCTTCCGGGGCCACGTCACAAGGACCTCGCGACGGCGCTCGGAGTCAACGCGTGTTTGCATTGAGGGGGCGTATTGAGGGGTACCGGGTTATGACGGTAAATATTCATAAACCGGTAACCAAACCGGTACAACACGATTCCGCGATGATTACGGTACGTTGATTACGCTATCGATGATTAGACGAGTAGGATGATTGGACGAGTGTTGGTGATTGGATGCACCAATTGATGGGATGATCTAGGTAGTGTGGACAGTGTAAGCTCCGATCAATCAATCACTTCGGAATCTCCCTTCTTCCCCTGAAGTGTCTTCGCTCCAGTCTACCCCCCGAGTGGTGACTCTTCCCTTCGCTTCGTTCAAACCCAACGTTGCCTAAAACCCGTGACCTCTATTATCGCTCGACTCAAATGTTCGAAGCCACGCGAGCTCTCTTCCGACAGCTCTCGCCATTAATCTCGCTATGTGACTCCATACTCTCAGCCGCCAAGCAACAGGTGCCAAAATCAAGCAACACTTCAAAGCCCCAGTTCTCAGACCCGATGCACACGCCCGTCGCCGCCGACGGACTTAAACGTCCTCTGAACAGCCCAATCACCGCATACGAGCTCGAAAGCGCGGTCAGCCGCTTACGCAATGGACGTGCAATGGGCCTGGACTCCATCCCTGCCGAGCTTCTCAAGTATGGATCAGAGCTATTAGCTCAGCCTCTCGTCAACATCATCAATCACGAACCCACCACAGGAGACAACATCCGCCTGGGCGAAGGAATTCTTCTCGGACTTCCCAAGCCAAACAGGCCGGCTGGCCAATGCTCTAGCCTTCGACCTATCGTTCTACTCAACAGCATCCGCAAGGCGATCTCTCGGGTGGTACTTCGCCGCATCTCCCCCAAGGTCGAACAATTCCTGTCTTCGCACCAAAACGGGTTTAGACCCTGTCGCAGCACTGCCGATGCAGTGTGGACCCACAGGTGGATAGCAGGACGCGCTCAGAGATACTAGGAACGATTCCATATCCTTGGGATCGACCTCTCACGTGCTTTTGACACAATCAACCGCGACAAACCTCTTTCCGTGCTCAAAACAATCCTCGATGACGACGAAAGTCGACTGATCCGACTACTACTACGCGACACAGAGCTCTCCCTCCTATTTGGCAATCGCCTGCTTTCGTCGTTCGAGAGCAATACAGGTACTCCCCATATTGACTCTTGCTCCCCTGTTCTTTTTGTTGCTTACCTAGAAGCTTCTCTACGAGACTTAGCCAGCCAACTCGACGTACCTCACAATCTCCTCGCTGACATGATCGTGTACGCTGATGACGCAGACTTCGTCTGCCAGAGCGCCGAAACAGCTACCCTGATCGTGACTCAAGCCCCTGCCGTTCTAGTCAAATGGCCCCTCCAGATGAATACGTCCAAGACCGAACACACCATCGTACACCGCAGCCAAACCGCGAAGTTCAACCGGATCACAAGTGCGAAGGATGAAGACTGGCACAATACGCGCAAGCTAGGTTCTCTCCCTCGGCGACACTGAAGACGTCTCCCTCCGCAAGACTTTAGCCACCGCCGCACTCGACCGCATGTGGAAAGTTTGGCTCCGGCTATCGAAGACCTCGGAAGCTACGCGCCTCCGCCTCCACAACTGCTATGTATTGCCGATTCTACTCTACAATTGCGGGACTTGGGCCCTGACCAAATCCGTGCTACACAGCCTCGAAAATTTCCATCGTCAACAGCTTCGCCAAGTGATCGGAGTACGCTATCCTGACACGATCTCCAATGACAAGCTCTACGACCGCACCAAGCCCAGCCACTCCGATTTCACTTACTTCGTAGCCGATGGAACCTTTTTGGCCACTTACTCCGCAGACCAGCAGACATTCCAGCATACCGCTTCATGGTAGCCTTCTTCAACTTTAGTGAGACCGGCAAATGGAGAGGCAGACAGCGACTAACACTACCTACGGTCTTAGATGTCGACCTTCAGACACTTTCCGCAGGACACCGCCTTCAAGGTGTCCCGGACCTGTACCTCCTTCGCCTATGTGCACAGGATCGTGCAGCCTGGAAGGACTTAACCGAGGCGCTTATTGCGTACGCGCCGCTTAATGGACTCTGGCGAGAGAAAAGAGAAACGTAGAGAATGTGATAACCCGACGCATGCGTAAGCTGAGCCACCTCGGTGGCAAGACGGCTCGCGAAACGCGCTCACATAAATATGCATACATATCAATCCTACTTAGTTTTCTTGCTACACTGAGTTTAAAATGTGGGTAAGACAGCCAATTCGTGGAATAGTGTCGCAGATGCTTCTTCAGCATTCATTTCAAACACAGCCATTCCCTGCTCAAAGTGAAGTTGTGCGTGCGTTTCAGGAGCAGGAGCAGTGTATTCTGGCGGCTCGCCATGCACCTGCGTGAGACGCCGCACTGGGAGGGGGTAGATAATGAATGAAGCGGAATGCTGCGGAGCTTGTTGTAGTATACTGTTTTGATATCCTATTGTGAACACTGCTCACTTATTATTAATACATGTTACATACCGCTACGCGGCGGTAGTTTAGGTTTAGTTGGACATGCTTTGGCCTTCCCGCCTCCGCTACGCTTCGGCTGGATGCAAATTAAAAAAACAAGCTCAAATACTGACCAAGCAGAAGCAATGGGGCTTCGAGTCAGGAAGGCAACGTGTCGAGCAGAGTGCTGCCCGTCATAAGTCTGGGATGGTACTGCCTCACGCCCGAGAGCCACAAACGAAGTTTTATTCGAGTGCTGCAACAACGACACCATGAATCTCGCTACATACGTCAGTGCATCTTTTGCTAGTACAGCTCTCATATTTAATTTCTACTTTCTCGAAATAGTCTATTATGTAGGTATACAATATATGAAGTAATTTATATTAAGTTACTTATAACAGTACCGTATAAAAGTTGCGGTAGATGGACCAATAGGGTGCGCCCTTGTCGGCGACACGTCCTCCAGTTTAGTAGTATCAGTTTTTGTTGTCTAAACAACGTTTAGGTCAAGTTCAATTCGCTTACAGTAGTAATTGTCACCAGCACAAATGAGTAATTTTCGCTCCCTCTTAGACTATCTATGGGAATGGCTCAAGCGACAGCTTCCGTAGACTGCTGTGTACACTCGGCGTTGAGCTCATCAACATGGAACTCGCTAGCGATACCGTCTCCATCGATGATCGTTGGTCTAGTGCGGATTGCAAACTCTTCGACCCATTTTTCTCGGCTACTAGCCCCTTCTTGAGCGACATATTAAAGCGTTCTGCTTCCACTCGCTGGTGCTGCATCTCTGGAATGACACAACTCGATTCTCTCGTCTCGGAGCTTCGTGCACTGCCACCGTTTTCTATCAATTGTGATAAATACATTTCCAAGCGTTGGGTCTGCATTTGCAGTTGCAATCGCTCCTCTTTTTGCTGCTGACGTCGAAATTCCCGCTCTCGGTTCTACTCCTGGCGACTGCGTTTGGTAGCGCTTAACGAGTGTTTTTCATTGGGGATCTCGGACAGAATGGGGATCTCGTCATTTGCATCGATCATGGCAAAAAGGTGCGCTTCTGACCATTAAGTGCAATTCTCAGATAAATACGATTTTAAACTAAGTACGAGCCTCTCATCCAAAATAGCGCGGCAGACTTCACGGGGCAGCGCGGAGCGGCGAGTGGCCAGCAAGTAGCGAGCATCCAATGATACAACGCGCAGAAGGGTGTTAGGATGGATGCAGTGGAGAACCCGTCGGACGGTGCGAAACAGACTCATATGCGACGCAGTTGCACGAATGGTCTAACATTTGCATGTGATTTAATTATGTATTAAAGCGCGTGGCCTACGAGTAAGGAAATCCGAGATGAAAAAGAGGTATGTCACGCTTGGTATGGAGAATGGCGACAGCAGCAATGACGACTACCGTCGACACGCAGGACTCGGAAGATAATGAGGAAATTTCCGGGGACGCAGATGACCCCTTAAACCTCGGTACATCTGTTCAGTAGACTCTCAGCAGATATTTGCTGAGACTAAAGGCTGCGTTTTAATCGATCAGGTCGGTATGAGCGAAGTGCGAGCGCCATGGACGGCAAGCTACGCGGAAATATATCCTGTACGTGTGTGGTTGCGGTAAATATAAGTTGCCGGCTTTGGTAAGGTTGTTGTTGAAAAGAAACGACGACAGTCTGCCTATCAACGCTTCGTGAATAGACGGTATTCGCCGCATGAGCCGGTGCCCTCAATGAGGAAACGTAAGGTGGTATTGCATGAAGGGCCAAAGCGAGGAGTGAAGAGCAGGTGAAACAAGGCTACGCGCAAGTAGTGCCCGACTACGAACAAGAGAAGAAAGACAATGAGCAAGACGCGCAGGACGAAAGTTATTCGGTCCTAACCTTTTTCGGTCCTCACCTTCCGAATAACTTTCGTCCTGCGCGTCTTGCTCATTGTCTTATGACTCAGGTAGTGCATCACATCGAGGGTACGGAAGCGAACCAATAAGCCCTTGGAAGAAATGAAGACCATGCTTCCGAACCACAACGAAATTGTAAATGGGGTGACGCCTTTTCTATCCGGTCCAATTGAATTTTGGGATCAATTTTATAACATTTCTACGCAATACAAGAATAAAAACAATCCCAAATTTCGTTCTCAGAGCTCCAAGTCTACAGCGCTACACAACAGGTATGTAATCGTCCGTTTGATCTTGTATACAATGCTTAACTCTGTCATGATACACTTATCTAAATTGTACCATACACACCCAGAATATGATTTTTTAAAGGGCGCCCCATGTGCCCTTTAGCGAAGTCACTGTACTTGTTTGTTGTAACAAATCATTGAAGATGCGTTGATGATAGATCATGATAGAGAGAGAGGCAGACTATTCTATTTGGTCTTAACGACGACTAGACGTCTGGAATTTCCTAAGCCTGGTTAGCAACGCCGGTGCCAGTAGGTCCGGTGGTTGTACGAGGCTCACCCTTTGTATTGGGTGCTCTCTTGGTTGTTTTTGTAGTACCCGCAGGCATAACAGCATTCGGGTACCTTGCTCTTGTGTTTCCGGTCTTCGGCTTTCCCGCTTTCCTATCGCTTGTTGTTGCCTCATGGCCGACGCCCAAAACTCCTGACTGCTTGCGTCCGCTGTGATCTCGTCTTGGTGGAAGACTACGCTGTTCCTCTGAGTTCATATGCTAGTGAGGCAGATACTGCAAAGAATGCTCCAAATTCGCTTCCAGTCCGCTGTAAACTGTTTGGTCTCATCCGGAAACTTGCTGCTCAATTGCTGCTGCACGCATTGAGATAGCAGCGGTGCCTTGCGGCTGGCGCACTGCTGTTGGAAGCTCTCTACCTGCCCAGGTGACCAGCATTCGCCCGTCCAGTGCTGAATTAATTTGCTCCAGCAGGCTTGCGCGCATGAACACTCCCAGAAGAGATGTTCCACCGTCTCTTTGTGTTCACGGCACTCCGGTGTCTTTCGGCAGCTATTATCTTGCCGACATCCTTCGTGGTATAAGCTGAGTTGCCTAACTGCCACGCGATATACCACCCAGACCTGGTATTCTGTGAGCTGGTGTTTGTGTGCCCATACTTGCGTTGGTGTTTGTTGCATTGCTGCATTTTGCCAGACGCTGATTGCCACAATGTCCTGAAGGCGTTGCACTTGCCTGTGGAGTTGTCCGTCATCTCCTCTGTACCGCCGGAACGGCTGCTTTTTCAACGCCACCAAAACGTGTTTGTTTGCCACGCTCTTCTTCACACTCCAGGGGAAGCTGTGGACCCATGGGTGCGCGTAAAACACCAATCCTCCGGAGGCGCTGAGCTGGGCTAGTGCTTCCCTTGCGTTTGGCTGCTGAATCTCCCCCAGGTCTCCAGACGCTAATCTCCATGCTATCCCATTGGGCATTTGCTCTAACAGAATGCTGCTCCCTTGAGTTCCTTGACCCGTGGTGCACGTTCCTCTCGCTCCCCCGTCTTGCGTGAGTTGCCAGGTGTAATCTGCTAACACTTCTGGCGGATGCCTCAAAGTCAGCTCGGGCTGGACGTGCAGTACCGCTCCAACTGCTAACGTCGGAGCGTTCAGCAGTATTGGTAGGCTCCATCTCCTCAACTTTGCCTGCTGATGTTCCACTGCTCCTTCGACTGGGATTGAGAAGGCGTAAGTCGTCTCCGCTGTACGCGTGATATGAAGTTCCTCGACTGTGCAGCTTTGAATCCTGTCGTATTTTTTATTGCTGAGTGTGTTTCCACTATCCACGGGTTGGCGTTCCATTTGAATGCCGGCCAGAATGCTTCAACTACCGCCGTCATCCCCCTCCACGGTGACTCCAATACCCTTGGTAGCTCGATGATCCATCTTCCTGCTACAGTCCAGCTAAGAGAGTCTACTTCCAGTTGCTCAAGATCCGTCTGGTACTTCAAGATGGAGTCTGCTGAAAGGTCATCAGGTGGTTGGAGCCAAGTAGTCATCAGCTGCTGCACTTTTTCCCCAGGCTGTCCTCTGACTCGTGTGGCTGCCTTAGCGGTCACGTTAGTCGGAGATATAACTTCACCCCACTCACTCGTTGATACGCGAAAGACCCAAGCCTTCCATGCAGACCAGTAAGTGTCTTTGCGTTGCACGAGCCACAGTATGGTGTGTTTAACTCTCTGGGTCTGACATGCTATAGGGACTGATGCCAGCCCCATTCCTCCTGCCGGCTTTGGGGCATATACAAGTCCCGGATTCTCCTTGTGCCGACTCGTATCTGTCGCTGTGCTATGTCTCCATAGGAGCTGTTTTTGCAGGCTGAGAATCTGCTTCTCTGCCCATAGGGGCTTGATGATAGATCATGATAGAATAATTCATCTTAAATAAAGTATGCCAGATGGTTTACGAAGGCACATTTTCTCGAATATTTTTATAGACGGAGCAGAATCAGTTGAACGTTTACAAAAGGGCACGCCAGTACCTGATGCAGTCCCTTCTTTTGCAAAAAAAACGATAAAGATGCACCAGACGCCCTTATGCCACAAAAGGGATAATAGGGCTACGTTACGTCGTTGGCGATATGTAGAAATAACAAATATCCGATTCTTACGAAGTTTCAATGGATCCACACTATTTATTGGTGTATTCACGGTGTTTCTCAGGGCTCTCGCTTAAAAGATCATTGCAACCGCTAAAGTCGCTTTTGTGGGTGCTTGGCTTGGTTCACAACAACTGTGACTCGTGCAGGTAGCGGTGACTACGGAATCCAGATTCGAAATGAGGTACACAAGCTATAAAATTTGGGTTGTACTGTAGAAACGCACTGATTTCCTGTTACAATCTCCAGACCCATAAACACACACGCCCAACCACAGCGGCTCAAGCGTCTATCCACCTGACGACAAAGACGTTACCGCTGGACAAGCAAGACCGTGAGGAGGTAATGCGGTGGATGAGTGCGTTTCTTCCAAGCATATCACCTGCTTTTGAATGAGCCCATTGGTATGTAACGTCGACAGTAATTTTGCTGAGGAGGGGTCTAATATTTGTTTAAATTTGTCCTAAGGTTTTGCTGTATTTCTATCGTTGATCGTATTAGGTTGCAAGACAATCCCACATCAGACTCGTAATCTTATCCGCCGTATCACAGGACGCGACTTCGCCGAAGATCGATTAACAGACATGTTGCACGCGCTTCGACAACTGGATGGGAGCGATGTACTGGTGAAGCAAGACCAAATGGGCGTAACGTGGGGGTAATCCAAACTCAGGTGCAGAAGCTATATTCTAGCGCTAGAGTGAGACCTTAGCGATGGCCTATACTCATGGGACGCATAATCTCGGGTATCACGTGGGCTCGTCATCATTATTTATACAGCTTTGCCTTCTATAGCAACCTTTTAAGTAACCTTATCGAGCATATTGAGCTTTAATTTTAACGCTACTACTACAGCTGCAGATACGGATTCCCAGTAGTTGACTTCATCAGCCTTAACGAGCAGTCTGTGACGATATCGAATCTTGGAGTACTTCAAAGCGAAAAAAAAACAGGTTGGAAGCCGATATAATATGTGGTGATTGACAAAGACTTCGTGAAGAAGCGCGCTCTGAAGGACACGTTGCGTGGAGCCATGATACCATTTGCCAGTTTCACGCGATCGCACACTGGAAGAAGGTCATGAAGTGGCCAGTATTCTGCTTGAAGGTATCGAAACAAGAGAAATTACTGAGACAAATGACCAAAGTTCTCTACAGGTATGGATGCCTTCTATATTAGTTTAAAATCTTGTCTATGCCTCACGCATTTCGGTTTAGCGCAGCGCAGATCCGGTACAGCCTGTCCTGCGTGGCATTACGACAGTACTGCAAGAAAACGAAACGCCTAGCTTTCTTTGCCAACTTCGAAAAAAAGCTTGGACTCCTGTCGTACGATGTGGACAAATTTTGTCGGAGGAAAAGTGTTTACCGCTGGAAAGAATACGACAAACAGGTTCGAGTCAAATTGGAGCCAAAGAAATATGCTGCTGGGACATACGACAAGAATTGACAAAGCGATCTTTTGGGTGAACTTTGCCGCGGCTTGCTTGCTGATAGTCACGTCGGCTTAATCCTGGAAACACATGGTGAATCGGTGGGAAATTGCTATGTAGTGCTGTCGCTGATGTAGGCTATTGGTTGGCCTTCCATACAAAGAACGTCACTGGCAGACATCTACTCTATCCAGCACCCGGCAAGCCTTGTGTGTGTTTACCTGAAGGGCGCGTGTCTGATGATATTGCAAATACAGTCGCAAAAAATGGTTAGAAAAGTACTCTCAGCTATGACGCACTTTATTTTTTTTCTCAAAATGGATTGCTGAAGGCTGAACATTGCTTACAGCTACATTTACCATAAAAAGGTATTCTAAGGTATATGCTTAAACCATAATATGACTGATTCCATCTCGCAAGACAAGAAGAATGTAGGCGAATATAGGCCTTACAGCATTGGGCTTAAAATTGTGCTACGAGCTCTGTAACGTGTAGGTTATTTCTAATTCAGTCTAGCAAATGAGTCCCATTAGTCGTACAATAAATTCGTTTAGTGAGACAAACGAAAACGATCACAATTTCGACGAGTCTGCTTGAAAAAAAAACATTTCTAAGTAAACACTTGCGAGATCCAATCGTATCCTACAAATCCATCTACATTTTGATTTGAGCCGACCAAAACTTGAGACGAGAGGTTCTGCCGCTCAACACAGTTCAACTCGCGGAAGACACCACGCTAACCCGTTTTGTAAGCCTAACCAACCCGCCAGACGGGACAGGTTCGATTCCGCGTGCGATTAGACATACAGACAGCGACCAATATATCCGACAGTGCAGTGGCCTACCGGTAGTTGCCTAGGTCACTTAGTAATATTAATATACCGGTATCGACAGCACCTAATAACACTGGTTCTACAAACGCTACTTGTAACCGCACCCTCGTTATGTATGCTTTTTTCACATATTTCTAATTATAAATCGCCAATTGTTCAAGCTTATAA